ATACATATACCGGGGTGGCCACATAAGAGGGGATGCCACTACTTCTTTACAAGTTTTGACCATTTATTTTTTCTTTATTTATTTCATTTTATTTTTTTTTACAAAAATATAGTTTATAGCACAACGAAAACCAAGTAACTCAAAGCTTGTACAAGATTTATAAAAAGTCGAAAATTTTCAAGAAAGACTTATCAAATCCCAACTTTTTAAGAACCTTTAGAAAATATTCGGTTATGCAGCTTTATAGCCCTTAAATTTCAATATAACATTGTGCAAGTTTTGAGTTAATATTCCAACGTACTCGAACTTTGTGTAGAATAAAATGAATACATAATAAATAAACAAAATTCTAAAATTGAATGGGCTATAAAACTGCATACCCGAATTTTTTATGGATTTTTTTTTCAGATAAAAGAGTTTTAAATTTCGATGACCGTTTTTTGAAATTTGGCGATTTTTCATAAATCTTTAACAAGGTTTTATACTTTGAATTGCATGGTTTTCCTTGTAGAGTAAACTATTTTTTTGTAAAAAATTAAATAAATGTCCGAAACTTATAAAGAGGTTAGCGCCCTTAATTATGTGATCACCACTGTATATCATGTAATTATATAATATTTTTTTAAGGATTTTTCTTCTTCTCATCTGAACCATATGTAAAATATATTTATTTATTTTTTTAATAAAAGTGTGTGGAATAAAATATATTAAATGTATTATAATAAAAAAATATGAAAAAATTTAACTCATAAAACTGTTTACATACATATATAGTATGTATTTCAATAAAAAAAAAACATAAAAAGGACCATAACACAAATTATGCATACATGTATGTATTTACACGATTAAACAAATAAATAGACAACAAACCTCACGATTACAATGAAAGAAAAGGGCGTTACATTTGAATGGAAACAAAAGCATCCAAAGTAATCCTTTTCAACACAGAAAAAAGAATACGAAGAAGCAGCAAGAATGTGAAATAAATTAAAATGCTGGAGAAATTTAGAAAATAAATAATTGTAAAAATTATAAAAAATGCATTTTCACTTTGCTTCCTCAAAGGGCTATCCAAGTCAATTGTACTTTTTAATGCGCGTAGCGATATATGATGCCTGGACTTACTATTTACATTGTTAAAAATGTATGCTCTGACGACTCCTAGACTGAAAATTTAACTGCATTCGGCTGGCATTTTAAGTGTATGTAACCCAAGAAAACGCTATTGTAGTCGATGTCTCCCCCATTTCTAAATATACATACATACACATATGTAGTTCTGCTGCATAAAAGGCAACGGCGACGAAAAATTTCTAACAGAGTGTGGTCTAGCCCAGGCAGGTTAGGGCACTGAGGCCCATCTCCGGCAGAACATTACTGAAGTCACCCGCGATATCTGCGAATTCCTTGAATTTCAGTGCTTTTTCGATGCTGCTAAACAAACTATGCAAAGCTGTGTCTAAAGACCTAGCAGTAGGCAGTAGACATGCATATAGCTGTACAATTTATTTACGTATGTACATAAATATATCAACTTCCCGAACCTGGAAAAAGAAAGACGTAAGGCCTGTTGGCCGAAAGCCTTCGGCTTCACGGAGGAGTGTCTATCTGCCTTTGGAAGTCCAAGGTGGAACAGCGTATGCCGATGGATGCTTGGTCAGGGAGTAGCCTTTTCGCTAATATGTGAACTCTGGATACCGGCCGCCCTCCCGTTTCAACTAGACTTACCGTGGGATCGGCGTTGTATTCCCTATCCAGTAGAAGCATGGGAACGAAATAAGTTCCAGTTATCAAGGCTAAATTTGATCTGGACGTTAATCTAGTGATATTTCCCTCCAGCTCAGCAATGAGAAATTTCTGAACAATCACTGCTCAGAATCAAATCAGCAAATCATTCAAGGAATTTGCAAATGCAAAATTCTGACTGTGCGCTTAAAAACAACACAACATAAAAGTATGTTGAGCAAAATACCAGGTCTAGGAATCTGCGAGTCCTCCGACAATATGCCAATGAAATCTGCTTTGGAAGGAAATATCAAGTAAAAATACCAGATCGAGATGTCTGGTCTATGGCCTACCTGAACTATATCCCAGGTATGTACACTGGTACAACATATGGAACAGATATGGAGGGCAGAGCAGGAGCGGTTATCTTCGGACCTGCCACAAACTTTCTATTGCGATGGGTACCTGTATTTCAGGCCGAGGTGCTAGAAATCTCTATTTCTGCCAAACTGAACCTTGATAAGGCTTTAAAAGGCGCGTTTCTAGTTATCTTTTCTGATAGCCAAGCTCGAGGCTCGACAAGGAATTTTTTGACACTATCCAACTTTTGGCCGCAAGGAACATGGTATTACTGTGCTGGGTACCATAACACTGCGGGATCGTAGGTAATGAAGCAGCCGATGAATTGGCAAGGGAAGGCTCATCGTCTATACTTGTGGAGCCGGAACCGTTTCGAGGATTCCTTTGGTCCTCCTCCTCCTCGGCGCTCATAATCGAAGCGTAGGTAAACTCAGAACGCAGGAGGTACTGGGGAGAGGTAGGCAGCCTTAGATAGGCCAACATTTTTGGTTATCCTTTTGCGAGAAAAGATACAAATCTCATGAGCAGAGCCAAAATCAAATTGCTAAGTGGCTACCTAAGCGGCCGTAATCACTTGCGCTCTCACATGCACCGGATTGGTCTTTCCATAGAAATGGATTGTCGCTTTTTTTTTGGTCTTGCATATGAGGATACGTCTGAACACATTACATATGTATATGTGATCCAGCATTAGTCAGACTAAGGCTGCAATACTTCAGTTCTTCCACAGTCGATACCTTTAAGGTTAGGAATTCATCTACAAAGAAACCTTTAGTTTTTATAAGCGAGGCTAATAACATCTTGGTCCGTCAGGGTTAGGAACCAACATAGAATACAAAAGATCTTCTAGGTCGCGGTGCCGCTTGGTTCTGTTGCACCTTAAAAAATGTATATAACATTTAAATGTTGTGCTACTATTGAGGTGATCTTCTTATTTATTTTGTCGCAAACCTTATATGTACATACATATGTATCTCCTAATTTATTCTACGTAGATAGTACATACCTTATTCTTTCAGTGTATTTTCCGTAAGGCAAAGCTTTTCATTCACAAAACTTTGTAAAACCGCACTGATTTAACTACTTATACCACATTTTCGTATACACCTGGCATTTGGCCAACGAAAAGCTCACGATGCGCGCGTCTGCATAGGTTTATTTTTGGCCGTGAAAATGCCAAAGCTTCAAACGACACACACACACAATTACATATACTTACATGCGTGTAAAAGGTGTACACAAGAATAGCGAGAGCAAAACAAAATGCAATAAGCAGAAGTGAAAGGATAAAAAGGGAAAGAAGGAGCGTACAAACTGAGTGTAGCTCAATTAATTGGTGAACTATTTAAATTGTATAAGAAACAAGCCATATTTTATTAAACACATACACATACGTACATATATGCGTACGTCTTCCTACTTAAAAAAAAACAATGCAAGCGGCCTTAACCGCTATCACTCAGCCTCAGCTATTGACAACATCCGCCGGTTAGAGCGTTTAGCTTTTTACACGCTTCTAAACTTTTGTATCCTCGCCAGCTATGGCTGCTGTTTGTCAAGTTCGGCTCAGTTGTGTGCAGAAGCACCACGGAAGCGGACGTGATATTTAACGGTGGCATTTGGAAGCCGTCAATTATGTGGCGCTTGCGTTTTTGTGTTTGCAGCATTTACTCGCATGTTCTATTTATTGTGTATGTGTTTGTGCACATTTTATAAAATAAAATTTATTTAAAGAAAATTCGTGGCTATGTAGAGTTTGTCTAAGTGTGTAAAGTCATTCAAAAATATATACACATGTATATTCATAATTGAATTAAAAAACGATATGCAGTTATTTAGTATATTTTTCGATAAAATGTTCCAATAAAAACGCTCAACGAATATTATTTATTTGGAGTATTTGTTTCAGCTTTTTAATGTCTTCAAGCTCAAATTCGGGAAAAAGCATAAGTTTCAGTGAAAAACTTTAAGTTATCCTTACATATTTACATACCCTGTTACTTCTACATATCAACTCTACAGCTACATACGAACATATCAGCCTACTAAGAGTATCCACTCCTGCTAAACACATACATACATAAATACTTATAAGGCAACGTCATCACAATCGCGTCAGCAGGTGAGTGTCCTTGAACCAACATTTACTATGTAGTACTTGTACTCTTACTTACATATATGTATACATACATAAGTATTTGTACATAAAAATGCCTCTATCTGTTCCGATTGCATGGTTCTGAAAATGTGCTTGCCTTCCGATACATATCGAAATTATATTGAAGGTCACTTTCTGATACATAGTACATACATATGTCTGTCAATCCTGATCTGATTTAGCTCTGTATATATATACACACCTTTGTATGTACATTAGACTGTGTCAAATAAAACGAATATTTTTTTTTCTTTCGGTCCCATATGAAAATTTCGGTGTTGGGCACACAAAAATAATTTTGGTAAGGAACCTTCTGAACAGGGCTGCCAACTAACCCTAGCTATTAGAGCCATATTGAGGATAAAAAGTACAAAAAAGTGCCTATTTAGGCGACTAACTACTAGCGCCTAGACGCATGCTGCAACCTCGATGGGCCCGCATTAGGGATGCCAAAATATCAGGAAAATTGGGATCCCGGGATTTCGGGATATTTTTTAGGTAATCCCGGGATTCAAATTGAGTCATAAATTTTATGAATATGAGTAAAAATTCAATATCTGAAAGCATTTAAACATTCCATTAAATAAAACTATTTAAAATTTACGATAAACTGATTGTAAAACTCATATATCGCTAGCTTAGAGTGAAAAGTTGCTAACTTCACTTTTAATGAAAAATCATATTTTGATATAAGAGGCTAGATAAATTAAAATTGCATCGTTTCGAAAAGGGTAAAGGTCCTTGTTTTATGTTTTCTCGTTTATATTCAAGGAAAGGAAAATTTGCTAAGGCCAAAAAAAGCTCCGAAAATTCGATAAGGCCAAAAAAAGTTCGAAATCTTTTAATAAATACCGAATCCCTCCGATTCGTATGGAGTTTTGCTTTGCTTTAAACAGGCAAAATGTTGTATTCAAAGTTTTGCGAAATACTTGAAGAAAATGGCTATACGAAGTTTTTTTCCTCTCCTGTACAATTTTTAAATTGGGACTTAGTAACTTTGCACTCTACGCTAGCGATATTTATTCAATCAGACAAATTTTAAAGTAAGACATTTTTTTAATTGTATTTAAAAAGCCATGTGATTGAGGAACGTATTTATCACAAATAATAATGTAAATACCAGGTACTTTTGAAAGTGACGATTAATAAAAAAAAAACATAAAACAAAAATATGCAATAACAATTTCTCTAAACATGTTTATTCTACTCTATAAAGAAATGACGAATGGAGATTTTTTTGCCATTTTTTTCGCAATTTACTAGAAATTTTGAGGGTGTACGAATTAAACGGATCTCAGAATCGGATTCAGCGGATCGAAATACATGTTGGTAGTTGGGTCTGGTTAAAAACATACACCCTCTTTTTAGCCGGTGTTGTTATTATTGCACTTAAAATGTTTTCGTAAGAGCAGCAAAGCATTCAAAGCGGAGTCTTCTAAGCCTGACCTGCAGTTTTTACATGCAAAACCTACTGATGAAAAACATATTTCGGCATCAACACTTTTAGGCTGAACTGTCAAAAGGTAGACATAATCCATTTGAAGATAATGACCCCTATCTCCTCCATTACAAAATATTTGAACTTCTTTTACCAGCACGTCGGTCAAATTATAAGTTTTTCGATTTGAGGAAGTTTTGAGTAGATTGATCTAAAAAATTATCTAACTTTTCCTTAAAACTCTCTGTTTCGTTTACATTAGCGATGCTATGAGTAAATTCATTGAAATCTTCTTCTAAAAAGGCTCAGACTGCAATTTAAAAGTACAGTTTCAAGCTTTTTGTTAATTGCAGTCAAAACGGCATTTTACGAAAATCATACTTCAAAATTCATAAACAAATTCTTACTATCAATTCGATATTTCAAAATTTTCGGGAACCCGGGATTTGCTTGCATTTTCGGGACGTCAAAAACACCGGGATCCCGGGATTGGCATCCCTAGCCCGCATACAAATGACAACACAGATAAGTATGTGCACGGCTGCATGTACAAAAATTTCCGTTATGATATTTAGGGTTTTGCATATGCTCTTTTTAAGTGTCATTAAACAAAACTTTCATAAGTAATAACTTGATGGAACTTCAAAGCATGCTCAGTAGGGTGGTCCAAAAATACATGCGGGGAAAAAGTTTTAAATGTAAAGCTCTCACCCCTTAGGATTTTTGTTTATGGAAATAAAGAATACCCGTGTTTTTTGTTTCAAAAGAAATTATATTTAGAATAGTGTTGGGCAGTATCGATACCAAAAGTACTCAGAACTCGATTCTCAAAAGAATCGACAGCACTCGATTTTTAAAAGTATCGATACTGAGTACTCCAAAGAACTCACTCACAATATAACTTAGTATTAAGTGTCGAATAGACTTAAAAAGTACTGAGTTTTATTTACATTGAACGGTATTCAGAAATGATTATACTCAATTTGCAGTTTCAATAATTTTCAATTACAATACTTGTAGCCAGTACAGTTAGGCATTCATTTGACATAATTTGGGATTCATATATTAATTTGAATTAAATAATGCCAGCTTGTGAGATTTCTACACTAAGTATTGAAATGTTACCAATATATATGTATATTTAAAGAATGTACTATGTACTCTGGAAAATACCCGATCTTTAAAAGTTTCGATACCAAAGAACTCGACCCTCAAAAGTACTCGATACTTCCCAACACTAATTTAGAACTGCCTGAAAGCCATAAAGTTTTCTGTGCATTTTATATGGGGAAAACACACTTTGTCGTAGAAATGGTATATTCCATACTTTTCGATCGGAAAACTGTTTATCCTGAGGATACTTCCAACAAATATACCCAATTGTTTATTTAACCATTTTTTAATAGTTTAATGCAACGGCGGACCAATAAAAATCGGTAGTATAAAAAATAGTAAAGTAAATAATTTGTTATTATTATTGGAAGTCTTCTGAAGACTGAGAACTGAGTTTTCCGATCGAAAAATATTTTTTTTTCAAGATTTCTACAACATTTATACGAAAAAACTTTTTTCCCCATATAAAATACATGAAGTTTTATAAAAAATGCGGGTGCCTTATTCCATTTAGAAAAATCCTAGGGGGTGAGAGCTTAAAATTTAATTTTTTTTTACCACCCTTATACTCAGCCTAGTCTGACGCATCCTCCGTGCAATATTTCCGGCATTTTTTGCTGACTCTGCATGGCTTACAACCAATACATACATATGTACATCCCAGCAAAAAACTTTGATTCTTTGATTCTCAGGTTTTTGATTTAATGATGTTTTCAAGATGAATTACAACTGAAAAATTACCATTATGCCTTAAAACATCTTCAATTTTTTAAAACTACTCAAAATTTGAAATCTGCGACCCTTTTCGTACATTTTGGGGTTTTGTATTTTCGTTTGTTTTAATGATTTGGTTTTACGTACACAAGGTACTCATCCACATTGTAATTTAAATAAAATATTGACGGATTAATGAATTTTTTTGGTGCGCAAGGACGAATAGGTATTGAAAATGTCCTTTTAAAATTCTGTCCTTGAATATCCCTAAAAATGTTTAATATTTAGTTCTGAAAAAATTATACGTTAAGAATTAATATACACACGACCACATCCTCGAATATCGTTCTTGTAACTTTATTAAGTAGTATTCAAGGAAAAGATACCAATTTATATGATATCGCCCAAAAAACAACGCGGCGCATTCGTAGTCAGACACTAAAGTTAGTTGCAGCGTTTTGACATAATTTTCAACAGAATATCTGTCGACTCTGAATATGCTTCACAATTAGTACAATATGACGGTGCTTTCGCAAAATTTGAACAATGTGGAAACCAAATATTCACACCATCGTAAACAACGTGTTTACCGTCTTAAACAACACTCTCATCGCCTTCTTGACCTTATAACAACAATAAAATATCATTTTATCAGTTTCCACCTTCGTATATATAATACGGTGTTTAAATGAGGCGATTTTACAGACAGTTGAAATCAAAAATCTCCTGGTGCGAACGGCCTTTCAACTAATCGCTTCCAATGAAGTTGCGGTGCAGCCACCTTTTAATTCAACTAAACGTCTATAAAATTTACTTTAAAATCGTCTCATCTAAATCTAGAAAAATGCGGATGAAGAAGTCTTTTAGGTCTACAAAGATAGCATCGTCCGATTCATCTAGAACAAAAATGTTTCAAACAAGGAAGAGTTTCTCTGCAATGTGGCGATAGAAAATATATATATAGATACTTTTCATTTGAATCAGCATTAGAAGCTCTATTAGCTCCTACACTCTGTTTTTGAAATGCTAAGCTTCCGTGAACCACTTTTATTCCATATTTTTGGTCTATGTGCGTTCCTATCGAAACATTTCGATAATGATTAACTCTGGTGCTATTTTCGGCAATTCTCGCACTTTCAGTTCTTCTTAATATGGTGGGGTCAGAACTAGGGATGTTAATCTTTCAGCCTTTTCCGATCCCGAGAATTCCGGGATGTCGTTATCAGAACCCCGGGATCCCGGGATTTAGATATTCATTACTTTTCAACAACTTAAATCGAAAAAATTGCTTCTATATTGTTTGAGAAGCTCTACTACCATTAAATAAATAATAAATAAATGGGTTTGAAACCTGCTTTTTTTAAGCGGATAAAGTTAGAAAGACGAAATTAGAGGATGTTATCCAGTTTATATAAGTAATTAACATATATTTTTTTTTAAACCAAATATTGCGAAATTTCAAGGATAAAATTTTAAAAGGACATTTTCAATAGTTACCAGTCCTTCTGCACCAAAAACTTGAATCGGTTTAAATCCTACACGATTTCATCCTTAATTTGATACCCATACTTCTTCTCTAAGCACATTTCTCTAAATTTTTTAAACCAGTTTGAATTACTAACGTCAGAGTGAAAAACTAAAAACATGGTTTCGCGAGTATATTAATATTTGTGTATAAAATTTACTGTCGCGCGGTGGT